GGGGCCTTGCCTCTTGCCTTGGCTTCTAATCAAAGATTATGACGAGAGCGGGAGCGCCAGAGAACTCAATAAAAGAGAGAGAGAGAGAGAGAGAGAGAGGGAGAAATTTCTCAGGCATAGGGATCGGATCGATGAGATGTTTAAACAGTTGCTGTGTGAAAAAAAAAAAAAATTAGACCTGATCTGGTTTTTGGCTTCGCTTGTCTGAGTGGTTTTAATTTTAGACTATTTGCGTTAGACATTTGATGGATATTCCGCTTGATTTGCATTTAAAAATAACATTTCATTCTCCCACCGCATGGAGGGTGTTTGCCTTTTGTCCATTGTCTTTCGGCATGTCGCCATGTCGGCATGTCGGCATTTTGGGCATGGAGCGTGTGTCCAAATATTTAGATCTGTCAACGAAAACCGTGACATATACCGAAGAACTCCTTCACTCCCCAGCTATCGCCGCCCCGCTGGCTGTTGCTGCGGTCTTCGAAATTCCTGCTGTGGGGTTTTGCCTATGACGTAGATTGGCCGAGTAAATAATAACTATCTTTGAAGTACGAGATACTCGCATATGCATTTCCATTTCCATTTCCATTCGCATTCCCATTCTATTTCAATTTTAATTAGTTGAGGAACACCATCCATCCATCCATCCATCAATGCGTGTTATATTAATTTTGATAGCTACTCATCATTGCTATCGAATCGAATCGAATCGAATTGAATCGAGTGTTCCGATGGAGCAGTCGGGGTCGGAGTCGGAGTCGGAGTCTCCGCAGTCACGCGATGATAAGCACAAAATCGAATTTTGTGCATGAGAAATTATGATTATTTCTATTATTATTATGATTACGATTATCTATCTATCTATCTTTAGAGAGGGGTCGGGTCGAACAATTATGCTGGTCCGCTGGACCCATGTCGGGCCATCGATCTGTGTGTGAGATGCGGGACGGAACGGGAAGTGCGTACTCGACCCTCTCGATGCTTATCGCCCGATCGCCTATAGGGTGGGCAGCCCTCTGTTTTAGAGTGTTGACCACTTGTCCAAGAGGTTCGTTTGGGTCTGGAATGAGAGCACTGTCCACTCCAAGGACTATCCACTTGCTGAGAATGTTTCTTCCGGCCAATCAATCGTTTCCCAGGGCTCTGGACTTATCAATAAACAGAGGAATGTGCCTCAATGGCTCTCCACTTGATGGATGTGTGTATGCTCTGTGGTTTTTTCAATGCTAATCGGATATGAATGAACATATATATACATATATACATGACTATACGACTGTGTGTGTGTGTTTTTTTTTCATCGCGTGTAGTGTTAGGATAAACAACAAAAATCCTAACCACAAAACAAAGTCATAAAAAATGTATTTTCGCTTTTCTGTTGTTGTTCTTTTTTCCTCATTTAGTGCATAAAATAAATACATGTTGAAAATATGTGTCGATAAAGAACTTCTATAAATATATGCAGATAACAGAAAGAAACTGAAATCGAAACTGCGGTTGCAAAATGTTTAATATATTTTTTGCTTTGTTTCCCCTCTAGTTTTTTCTTGTTTTTGTTTTTGTTTCTGTTTTTGTTTCTGTTTTTATTTTCTGTGTGTGTGATTCCGCATTTTGCTGTTTGTTTTTTGTTTGCCGCGTGATAAAAACAATCATTTTTTTGGCCCACGAACGTGCCATTGGGGGAAATTTTGGGAGACCAAGTCCAGATACGAGCATAATATATGTATTAGCGCACAAATCGAAGCGGAAGTTTAGCCACTCGTATTTTGCTAATTTGTTGTTCTGCTTTTTTAAGCGTTTAATTTTGTTTGTGCATTGTATGTTTTTGCGATGCTTAATTTTAGCCCTGGCCAAATGGAGGCGAGCACTTTGTCTATAAAAATGCACTTCTGCGAAAAAATAAACACATGCCTCATAGCCAAAACAAACGGGAGAACCAGAAGCCACAACGAGATGCCAGAGATCCCCGTCTACGGCGTAGACTGCAGACGGCGGATCCGGCCAGATGGGATCCCCAAGAGAGAGACAGAGACAGAGAGCGAGGCGTGCGGGACGGGGGGAAGGGTGTGGCGGTGTGGCACTCTCGTGACTCTAACAACAAACAACTGTTGCAATTCCATTTAACATAATTTCTGTGGCAGCCGCACTGCACCGCTCTGCCGCCGCCGCTCCGCTTCTCATTCCTGTCGATCATCTTTTTTGGACGCTCGAGGACACAGAAAATATTGTCGCATATTTATGAACATGTGTAACAGATAAATCTGAATCCGAATCTGTTGCTTATAGACAGACGACACTCATGGACACACTCTCTGATGCACTCACATAAGTGATTTAGTTGTCAGGCGAGTGCATTTATCACAGCTTGCATGTGAATGAGGGAGTGAATGCTGGATGCTGCGACTGTGGTTTGGGGGATTGGACCTAGGACTAGGACTAGGACTGGCACTGGCACTGGCACTGGCACTGGCACTGGTACTGGCACTGGGACTGGGACTAGGGGATGGATGCCAGAGGTGGCACTGGCAGTGCCACTCGCAGGGGTTGGGTTCGGGGCGCCAGTAATCAAACTAATGAGCTTGGGCCCACCAGCAGGCTGGCAGACAGCAGGAGCCAGCGACGGAGCGGCAAAAATAGCTTTTAATGGATTTCAAATAAGAAAACGCGCATAAAACACAAACAAAACGCAGGCTAAAAGCAAAAGCCGCGTCACGAGTGGGCTCGGGCAGGGTTGGGTGTCTGGCCAAGTGAAGTGATAAAACATTAAAGAAATGCTCTGCTGCTGCTGCTGCTGCACATCTTCTTTGGAGGCTTTAGACTCGACTTTGGGCTTCTTATTTTTCTTCTAATTTCTGTTGCAGCAACACCTAGGGGTTGCTAATGGAAGCTGCTGCTGCAGCCTCTGCCGCTGCTGCACTTAATGGCAAATGATAATGATTGATGCTGAAATGCATCCTCCTTCAGCGCTACCCCAAATCCTCCTTCAAATCCACACAAAAAGCCACACAAAACACTTCAAGTCGCAGCTCTCCTTCAAGGGTGCAGCACGGAATGAGGATGGGAATGGGGTTGTGGATGTGCTCTTTCAAGGCGATAAGCAATCATTCAATGCGGTGTGGCAAGTGCACACCGCGCGGAGACGCGGTGCCACACGTTTTGCATTAGAGAAATTAGAAGGAAAACCGGTTGGGGCCCTGGCTAAGGGTTGGAGATCAGCAAAGGGATGGGCTGCATATCCGGAGAAGGAGAGCTTTCGAGGGCCTTCATCTTGGTGTCTTGGTTTAAGTTAAAAAATGCAGCGAAAGGATCATCAGGGAGTGTTCAGGATTGCATGGTATTTCCAGAGTAGCATCCCATGTCCAGGGTTGCATGGCAGAAGTACAGAGATGTCCGCTGATGGAAGGGGACTTCCTTGTGCAGCCAACAGCCATTCCAATGGCCTCCCTTGGGGGACTCCATCTAGCACTCTCTCCCCTCTGTCTGTTGCACTCGTTTTCTGTCTGTCCTTCTGCTGCCTCTCTTTTCATCAGTGTAAACAAAGGCATTCAACAAATTTGTAGGCGTAAAAATTGTCTTGTCAATATTTTAATGATATCACTTTACACCCAACCCACTCCCTACATTGTCCCTGGTCCTTCGTCCTTCGTCCTTGTCCATGTCCTATCCTATGCTCTTCACTCTCTACCCCTATCCGGCACGTCCTTCTCTTAAATCCTGTGAAAAAGTTTCGTTTTAGCTTTTTTTTGTTGGTGTTTTTTGTGTTGGTTTTTGACTCCCAGATCCACACGGACTGCCAGTATTTTCCCCTTGTTTTTTTTTGTTTGTCCTTCCTTTTCCTACTCTCTTCTCTTTCTCTTTCTCTTTCTCTGCTCGGCTCTTCTTGTTCTTGGGCGTGTAAAGAAGAAGTCAAAAGTCCCGTTACTTTCCTCTCTCTCTCCCTGTTTCCCTGTCGCTCATTTGTTTGCCTTGTATTTTGTTTTTTTTTTCCTTCTTTTTTTTTGTGTTTGGGTTTCAGTTTCGGTTTCTGTTTCTCTGTTTCTGTTTTTGGGGGCAACATTTTTACTGTTTGGCTAGAAAATTACAAGAAAAGTGTTCTGCCAAAGGGGAGTGGGAGGGGCGGTCGGTTTCCCTGAAGGGGGTGTTTGCTTATTTGTGCAAGTGTTTTCTCAATTGTGCGTGTTTGTCGGTCAGGGGGTTGGTGGGCTTGGGGGGGGGAGCGAGATGGGCAGGAGAGAGGGTCAGTCGTGCGTCGTCGTCTGCGGTTGGAATTTCTCTCCCTTCGTTTCCCCCCGTTCTTTTTGCATCCTTTTCCCCTCCAGGAATTTCCCAGCTGTGGGCGGCAGCGTTTGTCTAATCTTAACGGTTTTACATTTCATTGCGCTGGGTAATTGTCTGCAGGAGGAGGAGCGGTACGATGCTGATGACGATGAAGGAGGGGGGTGGTTGCATGGGGCAGACGGACCTCTAGTTTATTAAATTAAAAAGTCACTTAAAGTTGCTCTGCGAGGAGAGTCCTGCCAAGGGAAGGATTGTGGCTGGAGGTCAAAAAGGATCCAATGTGTATATTGATCCCAAAGATGATCCAGAGGATGAAATTCCATCCCGAATCGGTCATTTCCTTTGAAATCAATTCATCTTTTCGCTTATGGGCACTTTAAACTAAACATCTACGACATTTGGAACAGTAAAACTGGAACATTCCACTTTTTGGACTCCATCTCGTGAGTATATTTCGATATGCGAGGCACAGCCTCTGAGCATCAACAACCGAACAATTTTTTCCTGCAATAAACGGGTCGCGCGTCATGCAGCAGCACCCCTCGGTCGCTGTGCACTGCTGCTAGGGATCTCGCGCGTAACGAGGCATCGGCTTGCCAATACATTTCTTAACCCAGAGATGACAAGAAGCCAGAGGACTGACAACTTGCCGAAAACATAAAAACGGGACTGACAACTTATCGTAAATGCGTTGGAAAAGGGGGGGTGGGGGGACTACCACTTACCTCTTTGTCTTTGGCAGCAAGTTGTACAGCGGGCTGATTGTTGCTGTTGCTGTTTGTGTTGTTGTTACGCTTCTTGCGCTTCTCGTTGGTGTTGTTGTTGCTGCTTCCCCCATTGTTGTTGTTGTTGTTGTTGTTGCTGGTATTGGTATTGTTATTGGCGCAGTCATCATCCTCGGCACTATGAACCGATGTTGCCACATGTGGATCATCCATATCATCATTGCTATCACGCAGTGCCACACCTGTGCCGACGCTGTTGTTGCTGCTGCTGTTTTTGTTCTTTCGACTACAACTATTATTGCTATCGGTATTGTGATTATTGCTAACATTTAAACTAGCTTCCTCATCATCTGGATCTGGATCGGTGGCAGCCGCAACAGCCGCCACAGCAGACGCCTCCTCCAGATCACCTGCATCGCCGGCCAGATGCCTCAGCCGCTGCTGCTGCTGTTGGTGTGGCTCAGTTCTTGCCGCAGACTCGATGGCCTCCAGGGACTGATGGGGCTCCAGCTCCATGTCATCGTCATCGTCGTCCAAATGCGCTGCATTCGACTGCATGGAGGCGTTCTCCTCCTCATCGTCCTCATCATCATCGTCGTCCTGCTCCTCGTCCTCGTTGTGGTGATGGCTGCCACGGCTCCTGCTGCCACTGCCGCTGCTGTTGGTGGTGTTGCTGCTGCTGGTGGTGGTGGCTGTGTGGGTGGTGGTTGCAGTGGCCTCGGCTACTGTTTGATGATCTGTGGGCCCCACAGCCGCCGCTGCGGCTGCTGCCTCCGCAGCTGGGGAATGCAGGGGCGAGTGCTGATGCTGCTGCTGTTGGACAGCCGCCGCCGCTGCTGCTGCTGCGGCAGCTGCCGCCGCCTCCATCATCATTTGCTGGGCGTGATTGAAGAAGAGCTTCGGATTGAGGCAGGCGCCGCCGACACCACCACCGTTCTGCTGCAGGCTGCTCTGCAACTGTTGCTGCTGCTCGGCGCTGAGCAACGGCGGCGAGGGCGACGGCGTATTGGTGTTGGCCAGCAGATTGCCGCCGTTCTGCTGCAGCGTGATGGCCGCTGCAACAATGGAGCTATTCAGCTGATGGCCAGATCCAGATCCTCCGCCTCCGCTGGCCAGTTCCAGATCCGAATCCTCGATCTCCTGAGCTCCTGCTTCCCCTTCTGCTGCTCCTGCGGCGGACGCTCCGCCTGTGTTGTGGCTGTGGTTGTCGCTGTCGCTGTGGATGTTGCCGCTGGCGGGATCCGTGTTGCTGGTGGACAGTTGCTCCTTGAGTGTGTTCACTTCCTTCTCGGCAAGGGTAGCGCGCTGCAAGGAACAGAGAGGGTGGAAGAGGGGGGATGCGGAGATTAGTTATGGAGCTGCCACACATATGTTGTTGCACGAACGTAGGCGAAAAAGTTACACCGTACAACTATCGACCCTCATTAATTTTACTTTTAAAGTCATTACGGGTTAAATTTAGCCAAATTAATACGTTGCAAAAACTTTTGTTGCAAGCCCCAAAAAGCGGCCAAAACACCCACCAATGGACACTCCAACATTACACCAAACACACCCACATACACACACACACACTCACACACACACACAGTCCAAGGACTCAGACGGAAGGAAGGCTTAAAAAACATTCCAGGGGTAATGCCGTCTGCATTAGCAACCCAAAAAAACAAGGAGAAGGAGCTCCACAAACAGGACTAGGAAGAGGAGAAGGAACAGAAACAGCAGCTCCAGGAATGGGACAAGGAAGAAGAAACCGTCGCAGGAGCTCCAGTAGCCAAGAGAAGCAACAAATTTATAGTTTATCGTTTCGTATCGATAAGCCTTGAAACTTGAACATTGGACGGGGGATGTCCTGACCTTCAATGCGCCACGAGGAGGCACCGTAGGCATCGAGGATTCTAGGGGGAAGGAGAAGTCCTTCGCCATCAAGGATACACGGAGAAGGAATCGAAAATTAAAACAAACCAAAAAAAAACCAACAAGCACAGAAAAGAAGGGCGGGGGAAATGAAGGTTACAAAAATATGCGGTGTAAACTTTTTTGGCAAATTAGTCTGGGATTCCAGGACCCTCCGGCCGTCCCCACAAGTTTTAAGGCTTCCTCCAGGGCAGAGCCCAAAGCCAGAATCTAAGCCCCACAAATGGCAATGACTTTTCGGCTCTTTGGCTTCGATTTTCATGTTGATTTGTACTTGTTGTTGCTGTTGGGGTATCCCCACATTCGAATGCGGCTTGGGTTGGGGTTCTGTGCAATTTTATTTGTATAAATACCGGAAGCTAACAAAAAACAAACCAACAGAGAGTGCGAGAGAGGAAGGGCGAGCGGGGGGATGACAGTTTTTGGGGTCTAACAGGGCGTTGCAGGCAATAAAGAACTTTGGAAATTAGTCGATGGCCCCCCCAAAATGCTGCCGCCTCTTGCAACTCTTGCCACTCTGGCACTGCCACTGCCACTGCCACAGCCGTTCTTTGGCCACAAGTTTCTATTCCATATCGATGAAGAAGTTAAGCAGGAAGTCGTTACATAGCAAAGGGTGAAAGGACCCCACTCTTTTCGGAGCTATAAGGATAGTCATTCCCATTCCCTGAAATCAAATAGTTTTGCAGTTCAAGTTGGAAAATATGTATATCTAATGCCGAGTCTTGACTGCTTTTAATCTATAAGTGAAGAAAGAAGCGTCCCTTCTTTCAATTTCCCCCTCGCTCCTCCCACATGACACATGCGGAACATTGATGGTCGAGACAAAAAAGCGAATGCTGCATACATGTCGTGGGCATGACTGGGGCACAAAGCGATTTCTGCATACGAGAATCGCCAAGAATAGTACAATAAACAACATACATGTCGTGTACACATTTGTTTTCCCTCCATATTTACTAAAAGTCCTGCCCATCGCTTTCCTAAACAATCGAAGCATTTGTGGCGCGGTGAGGGATATTTTGTGCTGTCGCTTGATGACAATATCCCTGGGAAAAGCAAATCATTTTTCTTATGCCCCTCCAGGCATGTATTTGTCATCGTCATCATCATTACGGTTGTGGTGGGCCCGTAAGGAGTGGAGTGGTTCTGTGGAGTGCAGATATATATTTATGATATTTAAAAGCTCTTAAGTACAAACAACAGACACAAGCGGTTGCCTCTCCCATGGAAGCTGCTGCAGTTTCGTGTCCTTTCAAATGCCAGACGTTCGAGAGCCCAGACAACAAGCAACAGACAGGGAAGAGACAGGACACCAAGGGCCTGGGTCTGGGTCTGGGCCTGGTCCTGGGTCTGGGGTTCCTTCCCGGTGGTTGGAGGACTTCTGGGCTTGTTTGTTGCCATTCCATGAGCTGCTTAAGCTTGAAAATTGTTTTCATAATGGCTGATGATGACTACGACGAAGCGAAGGATACTTTTCCACATTTCTTTTGGGTTGACTTTTTGCCCGTAGAGGAATCGATCAATGGCTGTCCAACTGCGTGGGGCGGCGACACGACGACTCTCAAACTGCGGGTCGCCCCTGCCCTGTTCTGGGCCCCACTGAACTGCAATCCCCGTGGGAATGCCGACACTTGTTCTGGACATTCCTGCTCTTGGAAAATAGTTCGCTCTCCTGTCTGGGAGCCACTCGTCTTTCTTGCTTTTTTTTTTTCAAATCAATTAATGGAAACTTTGGTGAAAGGTTTGCAGCAAGAGGCAGGAGCTGGCTCTTTTGTGTGCCCCAAATTCGAGAGGTCCGTTGGTCCTGCCACTGCTGTACGGCTTAGCAGCCAGTACGCCAACCAAATGAGTTAATTAACTAAAATGCGGGTGGCTTTGGCCAAAACCGAACCAAACCGAACCGAAGCGTTCCCTTTTTTTTTTTGGTTTTTTTTTTGGGGCCCACTTCAATGGCTCTCGTGCCCCATGGCCCATGCCTCGTATGTGTGGTCAGCTTATGGCAGAAAAGGCTTTTCCCCGTATTGAGCACCCTTTTAGCGTCCACTCCTGGAACATTTTTTGTTGGGTTTCATTTAATATTTTTTGGCCTGGTTGCCACTTCAAAGGAGCAGCACACACACACACGCAAATCTCTCGCGCGCACAAACCCAAAAAATGTTAAGTGAAATGTTGGGACCCCATCCCAGCGCCAGTAGCCAGCAGCCAAGAGCCAACCGCCATTTGGCATTACTTTAACTGGCAGCAAGAGTTCAAATGCCAGAGATCTTTCGATGGGAACTGTATCAACTATTGGCTCTGGCGGGAGCCTCCAGTTTTGTTGCTGTTACTGTTGCTGTTGTTTTTTTATTTTTTTATTTATTTTTTTTGTTCCTGTCGTCGAGCTGTTTGTCGTGTGCTTGGCACATGTCAACTCTTGCGCTGCTGCCGCTGCCCCTTTCCACATGTGGAGTTGCAGCATGCGGCATTGTCTCAAGCTGTTTGTCTGAAGTGAGTTTTCTGTCGTGTGTACGTGGCTGCCTCAAGACTCGCGCGCGCAAGAGCTCAGGGGCGATTCCAGGACTCCAGGACTCCAGGAGTCCAGGAGCTTCAGCTTCCAGCAGCAGCTGTCAGGACTTCAGGGGGTAGAGCACTTTTTGTAATTAGTACGAAGGCAATGTTATGAATTGTGTGCTTCAGCTTAAGCTCTCGAGTGCCCCAGCGAGCCTTCTTGTTGCCGCAGGGACAACCCCTTTTTCAGTTTGTTTTTTTTCCCGTGCTGCGGCAACATTCGAAGGGGTAACGACGGCAAAGGCGATTGCAGCGCATTGTGCGGTTTTTGGACAATAAATCAAAGCAAATCAATGCTGCAACAAATGATGTTGATGCAGCCAGGGGTTGTGTGTTCGATCTGGGAGGTGGTTGGGCTTTCTCCCTTTGAAGCCCAGTGTGGGGGGCTTCCCCTGGCCCCTGGCCCCTGTCCCCTGGCCCCTGCCACTTGAACGCCTGCATGACATGACATAATGGGACATGGCAGGGAGGGGTTGGTTTGGCCCCAATCCGAAGGAGAACGGAGGAAGCATTTTCACAATTACACACACATTAAAGCGGCGGCCCCAAAAGAGTAAGAAAAATGCCGAGAAAGAAAAAACAGATAAGCAAGAAGAGCACAGAATATGCGAATAAAGGCAGGAGGAGAAAAGTGAAGTGTTGGGGGTGGCAGAAGGGGTTTCAATATGGCCATCTGTGTGCGTGTGTAAGAGAAAAATCTGTAGCCTGACATTAGGCGCAGAGACAAAGCCATGGCATAGCATACCGTTTAAGCAGCAGGATGGAGGGCTGTGTGTGTGTGTGTGTGTGTGGCAGGAGAGCTTATGCCCCTGACAGCAACAACAAATGCAAGAAGAAAGAGGATATATATCTTTATGTTTGTGAAGGATACACATGATAGGCAAATGACAGCTGGAAGAAGAGAGAGACCGTGGAGAAGGAATGGATACAAAGAGCGAGAGCACAGCCATAAGATGGGAGTAGAGAGAGGGAACAGATTCAAACAGAATGAAAGAAGAGCATGGAAGGGAGCGATCGCTGTTTTACTTCGTACTTCGATCATTTATCGATTGTTTTGGAGGTAATTAGCGATTATTATGGATAAATATCATTTATCTATCCTTCATTTCCTTTCAGCTATATCTATCAAGCACTATTTCTTCTTTATCTATCGATATATCTATCGATAATTATGGCGTCTATCTGTTATTGAATTCACGTATAACTATCGATCATTCTTATTTATCATGTATCTACGCATGTTTCCTGTTTTTGTTATCGGTTCTGCATCGATAAATCATCAAAACTGATTACCAGACTGATTTCTTTCGTTTTCTACTCGTTTTCCATCGGATTTTGTCTGGAGAAGCACAGGAGCACAGAGCCCAGAGCATATGCACTTTGGGATGTACCCTCCAGAACCTCTTTAAAAAACCCCATAACAGCACTTGATTAATAATCCCCTCCCCCACGTTGCATATTTACTGGTAAGCTGCTCAACTGTTATCCATTAATTACTGTACCTCCTGCAGCTGCTGCTTCTTCCCCACTAAATACGAATCCTTCGTCGAAAGTGCGCTTCCTGCCCCATGTCTGCCCCCAGTATTATTCCTTGGATTCGGGGCATGCCTTTGCATTTGCTTTACAATTTCAAACATCATTAGCAACGCACACACACACACACACACACACAGAGAAGAGGGACTGGGGGCAGGCCCCCCACACACAAACGCACACATGCTTATGCACACAAACGAATATACACACACACACACACACATTTATATATGTATATATGTATATATCCCTTTTTGCTAATTATTTATTTAAATATTAAACAAAAAATACCCAAAATACAC